GTGACCTGCTTTTGTATGTCCAGCCTGTGCTGTTGAGGGCAAGGGGTGCCAATTATGCAGGAGCTGTGGCCTGTTTTAGAGGCAGATAACAGACGTTCAAGTTCTCCGCAGTGACTTGCCCATGAGAGGCACTGGGTCTTAATTCCTGTCTCCTGACCAGTTTGGACTGATCAGGAAGCAAAGCGCCATTTAACTTCCATGGAAGAATCAATCCAGTTGGACTTGCTTGGAAGATCATCAGATATGCATTATTTTATGCTGTGCATAATTGCTATTCGCCTCTTTCCTGAGGTTGAAACCTGCCCATCTGGTTTTCTTCTCCTCCACTTTGGGCTCTGAATATAAGAAGAGCTGTTGTAACTTTTGGATTGCTTTTATGCTAGGTTGACTTTGTTGCAACAATTTGTAAATACCCCCATTGCTAATCTCCCAGATGACTATTCACTTTTAATTTGTCTTTTACAATTTTGTCTCTATGGCAATAAAGAGTAGCCCCAGTCTTTGTGCTGCCCTCACAAACAACCCGTAACATACTGTGCCTCTACAGTCTAGTATAACATAACGACGGATAAGGGCCTGTTTGCTGATGCCTGGGTGGTTCCTAGTTGATCCATCAGCTGAAGCAAAGTGGTTCACAGCTTTGAACAATTATTAGTGTTTAACAAAATATGACTTCTATAGTAACATTCTTCAAATTAAACTATTAAAGCGGGATGGAAATTGGCTTAGTCTTTGACACATCCTCATAGTATTGATGTCTGAGCAGTACGAAATGAATCACAGTTTTTATTTAAAAAAGAAATGCTTTTTAACATGTGGACCTTTCAGATGTCATTGTTCAGGAGTGGATGCAGAGTTTAATATCACTTCATTAGATTGCTGACAGAAAAAGATCAGAATTCTTAAAGTACTACTTGAAGAAATTTGTTGGATTTTGACACATACTCCATAATCTCTTTCATTATGATATCTTTTTTAATTAGACTTTAATTTCAGTTTTACAAATCATGTGTTTAGAATGACCCTGGGCATAAAGTTGAAGAAATTTGTATTTGAAGTCTTTCTGGTTTTAATGTATTGTAAGATGACTAGTATGGCAGATATTGGACATCATTACATGAGCCTTTTTAACATAGTGTTTGCATTTCTTTATCTGTATGTAAAATTAATGGTATTATGGGGAAACAACTTTATAGTCAACATGAAGATCTGTTTTGTGGTTAATATCCATCCCCTCAAGTACAAAAAGATACCAGATTTTCAACTTTTACTCTAGATGTATCTAGAGAAAGATACATCTTTTTCAGCACTGAGACATATTTTTTGTGGAATAATTTATTTAAAGATAAATATTTTAAAGAGTTTTTAACACCTGCAATTTTCGCTGTATTTTAGTAAGAAAATAACATTCTTCAAACCTATGTAAATCGAATCAAAATAATATGTATAATTTATATTCTAATTAAGTTAGAGAATTAATGGATTATGCTACACAGAAACAAGTGAATAGGTCAAGTAACGTTTGTTCAAGAGAACTGCAGTATAAGAATTCAGCTATTTAACCCTTCTCCTCTGTATGTGTGATCTCTGTATCACTAATTTGTTGTCCGTAGTGGATAAATAAACCAGCTGACAGTAAATATGCATGTACCAAAGTTAATGTGCGTTGGTCAGCTGGTCTAGTTGGTTTGGTTTTTTTCAGGTTCATGGCTTAGATCTGAATGTTGGTCCCATGAGGAGGGGCCCGAAAACTGTTGACTCCATTGTTTATCAGGGCAATGCTGCTGGAGAAAGTGAGGTGGAGCCAGGCAGTAGCTTTGTAATCAAGTGTCCAGGCCTCGGAGTGGTGCCTCAGCTGGTGTCTGCTCTGAGTCTGACTGATCTTCCTACTCTGCCTCTGAGCCCACGTTCATCAATGTGGTGTTTTCACATTGCTTTGTCAATGTCGGGCAGCAGTGAACCTCTGTTAGCTGAGTGGTACAGTCTGGTCTTTAGCAGTTTTCTAGATGGTGACATGCACATTTAAAAGTCACAATTAAAACCATTTAATATTGATGTTTTATGTCTCGGAACTTTTACTAATGTCATGTGATTGTATTCTTTCTGGGTTTCTTTGCCTGTAATCGCATACTTTTTTTGGTTAGCTTTTTAGAGTGTAGGATATTCCAAAACAGGTATTGTCACTGAGGTAGAATGAATTTGGACATATGTGAGTAACTAGACTAAAATAAATTGCTGAAGCCTATCTCAAAATCAGAGAAATCATGAGTTGAAGTCACTTTTTTTTCTGCGCTAAATTCTGGAAATGAAGAGTCAAGGTACTTGCCCATTTACAATTCTTGCAATATTTCAAAGCTTTAGTGTTTTCAAACCAATTTCTCTCTTGCACTTTACTTGTAATATGTGGTTACCATAGATTTGTCCCTAGAAAGTGGAACGGAAATATCTTATATTAGCTTAAATACAAAGTAGACTCTGAAGTCAAAATAGGTGTAGTTCTTACAATTTTGTTTAAGAGAAGTTGAGAAATCTTCTGTAATTTTTGCCTTGATCAACTAATGTATGAAGGGAACAAAATACCTTATGTTCAGCAAGAATTTAACTTTTGTTAAGATTTTTCCATCAAATTTCAAGTGTTATTTTAGGCTCACTAAAGGTTATTGCAACTGATGTAATCCAGCTTTAATCTGGAAAGTCTGAGATAACGAATGTTATTTAATATTCTCTGATAAACTTTTGTTGCCAATTATTAGTAATATTTGTATACATTTCAGTCAATCTGTTATTCTTTAATATTTTTTTATTGGAAAGGATACTTTTTTAATACCCTTAAGCAATTTATAGTAAAAATAACTTTTTAGAGCCAACCTTTTATAAAAAGAACATATTCTGTTGAATTTATCAGCACTGGGTGGAGCATTTTAGGGAGAATATGTTTTTACAGGGTGAATGTTATGTTTTTTGAGGTTTTAATAATTATTAGGCACTAACACAGCAGTTTTTAACTAATTTTAAATTGTCTTAAAGGAACCCAGCCAGAATGGACCTCTTTTTACTGAGTTAAAGTTCTACATGCGAGCTGCTAAGCCAGATGAAAGTAAGCAGTCTATTAAAATGTTTTTAATGAACTACAAGCATTTAGGACAATCGAGCCTACAGGAGTAAGGTCAAACTTTTAAGACACTCTTTTTAGGTAACTTTCAAAATTATTTTTAAATGATCTGATTCAGATATGTAGTAAAATTAGGGGTTTTGGTAGATGTTCTTTACAGTTGTGTCTATGGTGTTGTCTAAATTGAAACTTTAGTTGCATCTCTGTCACTACAACGGGTGTGTCCTTAACTTCCCAGTATACTTTGCCTACAAATTTCCATGAAATAAGCAGCTCCCATGTATGCAGAAACTGTAAGTGATATACGTGCTCCCTTTTTATGTAAGTCTCTACTGATACGAATTTATTTGTATTTTCAGTTCAGAAGTGGACTAAGTCTCATAAACTGAAGTACTTAGGTGTACCAAGATATTGGGGTTCTGGCTTGCATGAAAAAAATGGGAACAGGTGAATATATCTTTTGTTGGCATATACAGGGATTTATTTCATTCACAACCACTATCCTTTTTAACCTTTTATAAGATCTGTTTCCCACCTATTTTCATGTTGTTGATTTCTACTGCAAAGTTTCATGTTCATAACAGAGTGGGTTTAAGGAATAGGTGCATTTTATCTGTACTCTGTCATTCATATTTGTGTCTATTATATTCTTCATGATTTAGTTTTCATTTGTCTCAAACGTTGCTGTAATACAGTAGTGCTATATATATGTGGTTTAGAAGCTTTTCATATCTGAATTAAAATAAAGTCGACTTCTAATGTATAAATCCTCGAATAATATGACTACCTTTAGAGTTTTTCTTCTGATATGGTGTGCACTTAGAGTATTTTCACTCACACATGTAAAGGACTTGGTGCTCTCTCTAAATCTATTTTATTTTTCCCTAGAGATAGTTTTTTTGACTTAATCTATGAGCTAAAATAATAGCTATTCTCCTGTTAAATGTGTCTTAAGTCTAGGAATAGTTTTTAGTGTTGTTCCATGTCATGAAGGGTTTTTCTTATTTGGTCTCAAATAGTATGCCTGTTTATTTAACAGTCCTTGTTTCATAGATTTCATAGATTTCTAGGTTGGAAAAGACCTTAGAGATCATCGAGTCCAACCGTCCCTAATCCCCATTAAATCATATCCCTAAGTAGTTCATCCACCCTATTCTTAAACACATTCAGAGATGGGGACTCTACCACCTCCCTGGGCAGCCTATATTTCCTAGTGGTCTTTCTCTAAACAGCTATGCTGCAAAGGAGTTTTAGTAGTTCTCTGGCAGCTTATAGTAGGTCAGGCTTCTTTGTGTGGACCACTGCACAGGACAGTTTGTATGTATACCTTGGTGCGTCAGAAATATTGTTACTTTGATAGGTCCTCAACTTTAAAACTAATCCAATGTAAAAACAGCATTAATTTTGAGAGGCAAAAGTAAGTATAATAAAATGATGGTTTTTTGTACCAAATAAACTTTGCTTAGCATTCAGCGTTTACTGCGTGAGTTTAATATAGCCACTATGAGCTCTTACAGTAACAGAACCAGTTTGACTGTAGCGATGAATATCAGAACGCCTTTGGCAAGTGAGAGATTTTTGGTTTTAATAATAGGTTAAACGAAAAGTTGCAACAGATTTCAAGAATTGAACTTTTTTAAGTAACCATGTTCAGTCACTTACTGAAGTAAATAATGTATTTCTGTAAGTAATTGATGCTTGGTTTTACCTATAGTGAATTACAATACGGATGTTTCCTCTCTGGGTACTTGTTATTGCATTGCATAACTAGCCAGGATTAAAGAACACTTCTTTTGTTGGATGGACTTTTGATTTGCTAATGTAAAAAAGTTAAGAATTGATGTACAACATGAAAAAAAGTCAAGTATTTCACATATTTATTTTCTGTGTACATGCAGTTTATCTTTTGAAAGAGGTGTTTTCAGTCAGTAATTTATACAATTAACACATAGATAAAATACTTTGCTATGTACATTTCAGTAACTTTGCTGTCTTTTTTTCCTTGAATTTAGTTACCGATTTATGATAATGGACCGATTTGGCAGAGATCTTCAGAAGATGTTTGAAGAGAACGCAAAGCGATTTTCCCATAAAACTGTACTACAATTAGGCCTGAGAATAGTAAGTTTAAAAAATATATTATTTTAACAATCTGGCTTCCCCGTGTAAGTCTTTTGGTTAAATCACACTTTTGTGCTGAGTACAGGTCCTCTGCTGGGTGGAGCTGAGTACTGCATTTATATGACTATTTTGTTTTGTTAGCTTGATATTCTGGAATACGTCCATGAGCATGAATATGTGCATGGAGACATCAAGGCCGCAAACCTTCTTCTGAGTTACAAGAACCCTAATCAGGTATTTCTGATGCATTTTATTCCTCCTGTTTTAAACCTTCTGTTTGACAACACGTGGAAGTGCTTTGAACCTGTGAAATCTAGCAGAAGCTCATTTTTAAGAATGTATATAGTAACATTATTTCTGCTTGACATTTATATCTAGTTAATATTCTACAAATTTTTTTATGCATTTTGCTGAACAGTTATCAAATTGACTATTTGGCCTAAATAATATTCTAGAGAAATTCTCAAGATTAAAAAAAAATTGACTCACAAATAGGTGTTTGCAGGTGGAAGCCTAAAATTATATAGCACACTGGTAAATTATGTTTGCCTGTCTGCATTGTTGCCTCATTCCTTTGTTCAAGAAATCCATCAGATGAGTGTTCTGTTACTTGGAAAAATTGGTCTTTAAAGTGTTGATTGTTCCACTTGATTTACGGAAGTCTTTCATTTTTCTGCATTTTTAACTCTCTTTACTATTCAAACAGTGCATATTAGGGTTTTAGAATTATGTATGTCTTCTTGCCCAAGTGTTTTAGCTCACGAAATACGTAAAACAATCTTAATCCTTTTGAAGTAACTGTGGTGTTAGTGAGAAGTAATAGTATGTAGTGGTTTTCAAATGGGACAGCTGACTTTACAGAGAATAGGACAGTAAGTATATTTGTAACTATGAACGTTACAATTTTTTTTTTGCATTTAATCTTACTGGTAATAGCTGAATATTTTACTATGCGTGTCCTTTGCATCAGCAAGAAATGACTTCCAGATCAGATCGCTATATGGAAAACAACAAAACCTATCTGACATGTTGCTTTCAAATCATATGTAGTAATCTTAATAAAGCATTACATTTATTATTTGCATATTTTTTGTGTTTATAGTTCTTTAATATTAGAATTCTTTATGGAAATTACTAGGTGTACTTGGTGGATTATGGACTTGCCTACCGATACTGTCCTGAAGGAGTTCACAAAATATATAAAGAAGATCCTAAAAGGTGTCATGATGGAACTATTGAATATACCAGCATTGATGCACACAAGGGTGTGGGTAAGGTTTATAACTTTGTTTTCAGCAATAGGCATTTGTGCATCCTTTTTATAAATACCAAAGGCTTTATTTGCTGCTTTGAGCTTTGTAAAAAAAACAGATTTCTGAATCTATAAAAATATTTTTTCTTCTCTATGAACTATACTGGCATTCTTCTTTTTTTCCATTTACTACCTTTTACTTTGATATTAATTAACTGTATTTTTAATGTAACTTTCTTAAATAGTTTCTTAATTGTAACGACTGTTAAGATGTTTAGTGTAGTGCTTTTTATAAACTAAGTAGAAATGGAATAGTGCTTATGAGATCTTGATAGAAAAGCAGACACTGTTTTCAGTAGATAGTTTGTTACCAATGTGAACATTATTCCTTCATATTTGGCAAAGATGCACAATATTCTTTATCCTATTTATAGAAGATAAATATTTAGAATATTAATATTTAGAAGATTTAAAAACAAAATTTCCTTTAAATATGAAATATTGTTTCATAATTATGCCTATAGTCACTAAACATCAAAATGCAAGAAGTGAGAAAAGGTTGGTCATGAAAAGGACAGGTCTATATCTGGTTAAACATTGAGGATATATAGTGAACACCAGTTTTATTTTCTTAGTTCTTAAATTTTGTTTTATTAGCATAAAAGTGTGTCCTGCAAAAAAACAAGTTGTTGAAAATTATTATTTACTTCGGGATGAAGTATTGCACCTATGCTTAAAACTGAACATGAGCAAAGATGACTTGATTTGCCCATTTATACTTGTAGCGTAGCCTGTGGTAAACGTACTTGTGGGTTGCTTGCTTTGTGTTGTTTTTTTTGGCGAGGCTTAGGTATCTGATCTGTTACTGTCCTCTGTTCAGTTTTCAGTCCACATAAAATATTTCGTCATTGTGGAATGTGTTTTTCAGGAGCTGAGGTTTCAGCGCTATTACCTTTTTGTAGAAGGGAAGTAAAAACTGTTTTGAACAGAAAGTCAATCACTTCACTAACTTGCTCTATTTTTTCCACAATCTGAGTACTTAAAAAGCTTCCCAGATTGGGATAACTGCAAGCATGACATGTCCTTGTGTAGAAGAAAGAGATTGATAAAGGACTTGAAAAATTAAGTTATCCTTCCAGGTGTAGGAACAATATTTTTTCCTTCCTTGCTTTCATGCTAAAAGAAGTAAGCAGCAGATACAGTAATGTTACATTGTTAGCATTGTCTTTCTATTGTCTTAACCTATTTACAAATTTTAACTGTTGTTAAACTATGTGTGTTTTATTAGCTGCTCTTACGGTCCTGTTTTTTATGTGTGCATATTTAGCACCATCGAGACGTGGTGATCTGGAGATCTTGGGTTACTGTATGATCCACTGGCTTAGCGGCCATCTGCCATGGGAGGATAATTTGAAAGATCCAAATTTTGTCAGAGACTCAAAAATCAGGTGAGAAACTACTTGTTTTCCTTCTCTTTGAAATTGAAAAGTGGAATGAAAGTCTCTTAGTGTAGGAATGCTTTGTACTTTTCATATGTTCCCTTTTGGTGAGTAGGCTATTGTTTTGTGTACCTCCTAGTTTCCCTTCATTGTGTCTCATGTATCCTTGGCTTAATTAATTAAACTTTACTTGTACAGTTCTACTGTCTTCTTTTGCATATGTGAGATGCTTATTTGTCTACCACAGTATTGTTGCTTTAGAATACTGCCATGGTTAAGCCAAAAAGCACTCTTATCAGTATGCAGGTAACTTTGTCTGCTTTACAGAAAGAGGAACATGGAGTCTGAGTGGCCTTTATAACACTGTGCTCTGAAGTCAGTGGCAGAGATGAGGGCTAAAGGTGGATCTTAAATGTCTTTTAGCATCATTCCAGCTAGAGGGCTACTAATGTGTGATTTTTTTTTTAAATTTTTTTTTGTCCCTCTCCTTCACTGTTTCTTTGCTTTATCTTCCCCCTGCCCCAGCTCAATCCTGTCTTGTCAGATATTTCATATGAAGAAAGCTGTCCCAGCGCAGCAGCTTGTCTCATCAACAAGTATTTATCTGGTTTCCTTATCTCTACTTTTAACACTTTGTCCTCCATTAATGATAGCGAAGCCCTCCTTCCTTCTCCTCAGTTACTATTTAGGCTGAGGATCTGCTCCGAATAATATCAGCTAGAGAAAGAGTCCCCTAGCAGGAATTGGTGAGAGCGTTGGTATGTGAGGGTTTAAAATGGACCAGTTCTTCTCCTTCGGTCTTCTGCTTGCTTGCCTTTGTAAGAACCAAGAACTGGTGATCAAAAACTTACCATATTTCAGATAGCTTGTCTGGCATCTGTCAGATTTTGAAATGTACTGCACTCCTAAAAACGGCTGTACTAAGTCCTACCAGAGGTTTATCTAGCAGTGTTTCCTGTCTCTGACAGTGGTCCAAGCTAGGTACTTGGGAAGTTTATCAGAACAGGGCAAGATTCAAACTTTTAAAGAAACAATAGTTTTGAATAATTTTATTTTTCAGATGTAAAGATAATATTTCAGTTTTGATGGACAAATGCTTTCCTGGGAAAAATAAACCAGGTAAGAGGAGCTATTATAAATTAAAATACTTTGATTTGTACTGTGTGGTAAGCATTCTCTAATGATTTGTTTTAATGATGTTTTTTTTAAAAAAACAGTCCATCAGTCTGTCTGGGTGCCACCACCAAATTGTAGACAATTTTAGACAGTGGGTAGAAGCTCTGAAATGTGTATTTACGTGGCACACACTGAGTGCATGCAAGGGAAGGCTGTGCTACTCTGTATTCAAATAAAAACAGATCAATGCAGCTGCCACAAAAGGTGAGGAGCTGTCAGATTATCAGCATCTTTCTTCTTGAGAGGTGTGTCTCAGGCATTGTACTCTAATCTGTTGCTTCCTTAAGTCCTCCTTGTTTACGGATGTTTGTACTGATTTTTCTTCTTATTTTTATGAGCAACATGGAAGTGGCATGAATTACATTGTTGACTAGGAGAAGTTTAGACTCTTCTTTTTGGCTGCAGTTTTATGAACTGCAGACACTGTCCGTTCTGGCTAAAGACAGTGTTAAGTATTTTCAAACATGAAATGTGTAAGTTGATTTTTCACAACTTAATTTTAGAGATTCAAAATATAAAGTAATGCAAACTTGAAGTCTAGGTTGTTTCTATTTGGCACTGGCAATTTGCCAAGCAGATTTTTTTTTTTTTTAAACCTGACTCTATTAGAAGTACACTTTCTTCGGATCTTAAACATAAATATTGAGTGATTTCCAGCTACTCCTGGTAATCAGAAGAGAGTTTTCTCTACCAAGTGTGACTTGTCTGCTTTTTCAGTGGTGAAATGAAATGTTTCATGTATTTTTTAATATATATTTCAGTCTTGAACTGATGAAGTTCTGAGATAGCACTGAGTTTCCTTTTTAACGTTTTTAAATATAGACGTAAGAAATATCATGTAAACAAGCTTTCATTGGTGAAGATTGGCCTGTTACATTTTTTACAACTGACTGTTTTCTTCATTGCAAGGAAAGTGTAAGAAACAGTGATGCTGTCATCACTGGGTAATGAACCTTGGTATAATTTTTTTCTAAAACGTGCTGTAGTAAAGTCGTAATTATCAGTTTATAAATAACCGTTTCAAAAAATGGCATAAGTAGTGCATGCATCATTTCTGACTCTTTTGTGGTAAAAGTGTATGATTAAAATGGTTTTCAAATATAAATTAATTGGAGATACCATTTCTTTAGATGAAATAGCCAAATATATGGAAAAGGTGAAGCTACTGAGCTATGAAGAGAAACCTGTTTATCAGCATTTCCGAGAAATACTTCTGCAAGGTCTTAAGGCCATTGGGCAAAAAGATGATGGAGTACTTGACTTTGGCTTGTCAGAGAATGGAGACTTGCAAACAAATCCCAAGCAAAAGGTTTTTACTCTAAAAATTTATGTTAGCTTTTAATGCTAAATAAGAGTTAAAGTGGTATTGGGAGTAGATGCCGTAACTGCATCCAGTAGCAAACAAGCAAATAGCGAAATGTTTGTTTAAGTCCTACTCTTACACATTATTTCTCTAATTTAATTTTGCAAATTGTTATTAAAACTTAATACAGGATTATGCTTATAGGTATACTTTGATAATAGATAATATCTTGGATAACAAAATGTCTATATGTAGTTGTGAGGACATTTGAGCAGATGAACATTCAGTTAACTTACTTATTTCCTTAAATTGCTAAAATTCCAGATGGGTCAAAATAGATCTAAGGTAAAATAAGTCTAGTTTTTGTTTCAGATTAGTTTCATTTCCGTGACTAGTTCAAAGCTTAATTTGAAGTATACATCTTTATGCCAAGTAATTGATTCTGGAATTCACATATTGAATTCAGGGTGATCTAATATGTTATTTATGAGTCTTAACTATAGTGGTAGGCTACAGGTATTTTATTCTTTGTATTTAAGATTTGGACTCCCATTTGAATACAGTTTAAGAACTTTTTAAGCCTTGGAGAAATCATATGTAAAACAGTTTATAGTAACATTTAAAAATGGTCAAATAATCATAGAATCATTTAGATTGGAAAAGACCTTTAAAGATCATCAAGTCCAACTGTATGGAACCATAAATATTATTCTTTACTTCAAACTGTATTTATTACTTTTTTATTTGCATTTGTTAGTAACAGGTTTTCTTTATATATCCTGGAGAATTATAATATAGAATAATAGTACAATAATTCTGTCTGCTTACTGCCATGATGAGTGATATGTTACAGATGGGCAAAAAACAAAAAAGAAAAAAACTTGTAGGATTTTGAAGTCTTCTGAGGATACATGTCCAGCTTCTCATATTGTTTTTGCCCAGTAAATAGTACTTTGGCTAAAATCATATAGGCATAGTCTTTATACTAATATTTTCTGCTGAACTGAGTTAGACTTGTCCAAAATGAGAGTTCATTAGCATAAATTCTTCTGTTCCCCCTGTGGATTGACGTGGCTTGAGACCTGTGTTGTAGGGGGAAAAAAAAAAAAAATCTATTTTTAATGGTTGGGTGGTTTCTTTGCTGAATAAGTTGGCTTGCTGCAGAGACAGCATCTGTGACCTTTAATGTCCTTGTCCAGCAGAGATGGCTGGTGCACATTTCCAATGGTATAAAACTTCAAAAATCTTATTTCTTTAGCCAATATCAGCCAAGACCATTCCCAAAGGGTGAGATAATACTTTTCCATAGGTTCTTACCTACTAGCATCAATTAGGAGTTAGTTTTTATATAGGGTGGGTTGTTTTTTTTTGGTTGTTTTTTTTTTCTTTTTTCACTTTGAGGAACCATATGCATGGTCAGCATATGTTCAAGCACTTATATAAAACAATGGGTGTTACTGGCCTGTTTGAATATGAGTTTTCCACTGTCTGCTTCATATTGCAGTGGACTTCATGCCAGGTAGTGCTAGAGTGTCCAGACAAAACAAAGATTGTTTGTTTGAAATCAGATTGACATAGCCTGCTTGCTCTTGACCAAGTCCCAGGACAGATGACTTCCTTCTATGTTGGATTTTCTAGGCCTTGTAACAGCTGTGGCATAGGCTAGGGTGGAAGAATAGATTGTGTCAGTCTTCCTTCCAAGGGTGTACTTTGCCCTTTTCTTCAAGAATGAGTGGAAAGAGGGTCTTCAG